AAATCATACAAAGAATATACTTAGTTCAGTTTATGAAGTACAACAATAACATAATCACAGGAAACACTTCATCTGAACAAGAAACAGAAGATACCAAATTGGTAACCCCCTCTGCGCTCTTCCCTGACCCATCCTTCTACATACCTCCTTCTCACCCAATACGCATTATCTTGAATCCTCTCTTTATCATTCATTTGCTTTTCCTTAAAAGTTTATCACTTCTGTATGTATCTCCAAATGGTATGCTTAGTTTTGTTCATCTCAGAAGTTTATAAAAGTAGAATCATAGTCTTCTCACATGATACTGTTTCTAAAATACATCCATCTCCTTTCCCATAGCTGTTGTTAGTTTTATTTCACAAAAATATGATATCGCGAATAGTACACAAAATATTTTTTTGGTGCCAATTTTTTGGAAATTGAAGTTGTTCCTACTTGTGTTTCCCTTATATGCAGTACTAATACCATTCATCCACATGTTCCTGGCACACATGTGCAAGAATTTCTCTAGGGTACGTGTGTAAGAATGTGATTTCCAAGCAATAACAGATACACAAGTATTTAACTTTACTACCAAATTGTGTGCTCCAAATTGCTGTGTATGGGTTCCTTTTGCTCTCTGTATTTTGATGTAGAATGTGCCAAGTTTTTATGGGATAAAAGTTTATGTGTTTTTAATGAAATGCACCATATAGTAAATTTGGGGGTCCATACAATCTCTAGTGCAACTATTCATCTCTACTGGTGTAGTAGGGAAGCAGCCACACATAATATGTTAACAGATGAGCATGGGTATGTTTTAATAAAACTTTATTTACAAAATAGGTAAGAGGCAGAATGTAGCCCTTGGGCTATAGCTTGCCAACTCCTGCTGTATAAATACTTCAGTATAGGTATTTCATTTTTTAATAATTTTAATAGCAAACGTATTACCAAAAAATAAATAGAGACAGATAAAACAAATATGACAAAATGTTAACAATTAGTTAGTTCTAGGTGAGCCCAATTACTGTGGTGTCCACTCTTCTTTTACCATTTCGGTAGGTTTGAAATTTTTCAAAATATAAAGGTAGGGAAGAAAAAACTGATGAAAGTCTAAATATATTCTGTCTCTCTGCTTTAAAATAGCCTCATGAAAATAATGGCAACATTCTGTAAAAGCAGGAGCTAAAGTCCTTATTTATGATCCTTTAAAAATGTATTAACGGTCAACATTTTCCAACAATTAAGAAAAAACGTGGGAATTGACACATTATTACTATAGACTCAGGAACAGGAATCACTATCAGAATTATGTTAACATCAAACTCAGTTTCTTTATTCTATGCTTAACAGATCATTAAAAATTTTAGAGACTCCTTTCATATATCACAAATAAGTGAAACCTTGAATATTTTAACATGTTTTACATCAAATGCAAGAATCTCAGATGTGTTATTAATTCTGTTAACCTCAACTAGGCAAAGAGTCTCCCCCAATATTCAGTTGATGATATTAGATCATTTCCAGAAAAGATTTGTAAGAGGAATGTTTTCTATCTCTAGTGTTTATACTGTTAGCTCACAGGCCAACAGTCCTTTCGGTAAACCTTTCCAGCTCAGAACACACAAAACAATCATTTTTATCATCAAATATATTACTTTTAAGAAACTTAAAAATATTTGTGAAAATAATGAAGAACTTAAGACTGTAAAACATATTCCTTTTACAGATCTTTTACAGAATAATCTAACATCAATAGAACATTGGTAGAGATTGATTACATAGTTGAGAGTAAACAAATTAGTAACACATCTGAGGTTGTTATACTTGATGTAAAATGTGTTAAAATATTCAACATTTTACTGATTTGTAACATGAATGGAGTAACATATAAAAGGAGTCCCTAAAACTTTAGTGAATTTTTATAAGCATAGACCAAACAAGGTTAGTTTTATGTAACATAAGAGTTCTGATACTAATTCCTACTCCTAAAAAATATAGTAATAAGTGTTTCAACTCCTATTTTTACTTGTCCCAACAGATATTAAAGCATAGTCAAAAGCTGTATCAATGGCAAAAAGACTGTACCACTGTGGAAAGAGATCAAGAGAAAAAACAAGTAACATAGAGTTCATTATCATACAGTTTCATATCTGGCAAGTGCTAAAAATAAGTGGGAAATGATCATTTTATATTTTTATATTACTTTATTTATAATTTTTGTTTATAATTTACAGATTAAGGAACAGAGTCAGAAAGGTTAATTTGGCTAACTATTAAAGGACAGAGATGAAAATCACATATAAACCATCTAAATCCCAAACTGTGCCTTCATCTACCACATCCCTCTGCCTCACTATGAGCTCGAAGCCACTTCACAGCTAGAATACAGACACACACAGACGTATGTGATGGGATCGTGGAATGTGGCAGAAAGCTAGGTAAAGTTTAGTTAGTAAAGCTGAAGGGAAAAAAAAAATCCAAAAACCAAAAAAACAAAACAGTTGAATTGCAAGTGAGATAACAAAATCATTAAGAGAAGAAAAATCATAAATGAGGAATAAATTTGGCATACTGGGCCACACTTGCTAACAGACTTGATATGTGATGTGAAACATTACGGTAAACCACCCAACACAGGCCTCCAGGGGCACCTATGAGCCCTAAGCAGGAGAGGGCTACTTGGTAAATTGTCAAGTTTTCTTTCACCAAGGACCCAAGTAACTCAATGAGGGACCCTTCTCCTTCATAAAGCATCTCACCCAAGAAGGGTAAGATGTTTCCCCACTGGCTGGAACAACGTGAGCCCCAGAGAAGGTGGAAGGGAGTTCAGGGAGAAGACAACAAAGACAGAAAATCCCTGCGGAGTAAGAACGCAGTGTCCTCCAAATTCCATTTTCTCATTCCCCAGTAGGGTTGTAGCTGCACACATTAGCTAAGCTACATTTCTCGGCCCCTCTTGACACTGGGTGTGCCCCTGGAAAATTCATTTCCTCTGAATGAGATGTGAGTGGAGATATGTGCCACTTCTAGGTTTACCCTTTTAAGAAGTAGGGACACCGGCCTCATGTTCTCTCCTTCCACTGGATGGCTACCGATGGGGAGGAGACCCTGCAAATTGGCACAGCCTCAAGACGGAAGGAACCCGGGTTCCCAAATCACCATGTGGAGGAGAGACACCCACAAACCAGACCTCAGATGGCCTCATGAGGGAGAAGTAAACGTCCATTGTGTTTGAGCCATTGAACAATTTTGGGTCTATTTACTGACACAGGCAAGCCTATCCTAACTAGTAGAGTCTGTCTGTGCATCAGTAGATATCAGCAACATTCTTCTTCTACATCCAATGAAAGCTTAAAGACGGACAGTGTGAGATATTAAGCACACAGACCAAAGCAGGGAGCATAAAAATGGGTGATCAGAGTGGCAGCAAACATTGGCAAGAGAAACAAAATGAACAGCTGGAAGACAGGAAACCTAGATGCTCGGAGATCTGCTCCTCTTGAATCCTTGCAGCAAGCTGTGAGACAGGGAGAGGGTTCCTGACTCTGTATAGTCAGGAACCAACTTTAATGCACTGTCACCTAGCTCCCATATACTGTTGGTGCCTTTAAGATATCCAGGCCACATGTGTTTATGCGAATAGAAGCAAGCTACATAGAGCATGAATATATCCCAAAACATGAAAATATTAGGGTTAAAGGATTATGGGTGGGTTTCCATTCTTTTCCCTTCTGAATTATCTGAACTGTTTAAAAGCATACCATGTGCAGCCACTGTAGAAAACATCATGGAGCTTCCTTAAAAAATTACAAATAGAAATACTATATGATCCAGTAATTCCACTACTTGGGTATTTACCCAGAGAAAACAAAAACACTAATTCAAAAAGATATATGAACTCCTATGTTTACTGCGGCATTATTTACAGTAGCCAGGATATGGAAGCAACCCAAGTGTCCATTGATAGACGAATGGATAAGAAAGATGTGGGGTGTGGGGTTCATTAGTTTTACCATGTATACCACAATGGAATATTACGCAGCCATAAAAAAAAGAAATGAGATTTTGCCATTTGTGACAACATGGATGACCTCAAAGGCATTATGCTAACTGAAATAAGTCAGAAAAAGACAAATACCATATGATTTCACTTGTCTGTGGACTCTAAAAAGCAAAAATCAGACTCTTAAATACAGAGAACAAAATGGTGGTTGCAGAGGGGAGGTGAGTGAGGGGATGGGGATTAAAGGTACAGAATGGGATTAAGAAGTACAAACTTCCATTGTAAAGTGACTAATTCATGGAGATGTAAAGTATAGCATAGGGAATTCAGTCAATAATATTATAATAACATTGTATGGTAACAGATGATAACTACACTTACCGTGGTGAGCACTGAGTAATATATAGAACTGCAGCATCATCATGCTGTACACCGGAAACTAATACAACATTAAATGTCAATTATACTTCAGTGTTTAAAAGTGGTTTTAAAAAGCAGCATACCGTACATTTGTAATGAAAAACTTTTTCTTCATTTTGAAAGAGAAAAATTCTTCCTATTAATTCTATATTTTCATGAAAACATTTAACATTTTGGTGTCTATACACCATAAATATGTAATAAGGATGAGACACAAGTTTTGCCTGATTCCTACTGTGAAATCTTTGAGGGAATGAATATTCACACACCACAGAGACTATGACTATGTTTGCCAGTTGCCCTGTTACATAATCAGCTCCTTTGAAGGCAGGCGCTGTAGTGTGCTCATGATTTCCCCTAGCACTTGGCACACAGGAGGTACTCAGAAATGTTAAGTGAATGAATTCATAAATACACGAGTACTCTAGTAGCTTTTCATGTGTAAACTCAATGGTAGTCAATTATTTCAGCCTTGGAATCCCTGTTCGCTGTTTTTTCAGTTTTGCTAGGAGTGGGACATAAATTAATTGATCTCACCTAAGATACCTAAACAGTGTTCTTTTTTTTTCCCCTTTCACTTCACGTGTCACAGCTCCATTCAACCCAAATAAAGGTGTGGATAGCATTGTCAAGTTTGACACTTTTGGAGACGGAATGGGACGATACAACGTGTTCAATTTCCAGTACGTGGGTGGCAGGTACTCCTACTTGAAGGTTGGCCACTGGTCGGAAACCTTATCACTGGATGTTGACTCGATCCACTGGTCCCGGAACTCAGTCCCCACATCCCAGTGCAGTGATCCCTGTGCCCCCAATGAAATGAAGAACATGCAACCGGGGGATGTCTGCTGCTGGATCTGTATCCCCTGTGAGCCCTACGAATACCTGGCTGACGAGTTTACCTGTATGGACTGTGGCCTTGGGCAGTGGCCTACTGCAGACCTGTCTGGCTGCTATAATCTTCCCGAGGACTACATCAAGTGGGAAGACGCCTGGGCCATTGGGCCAGTGACCATCGCCTGCCTGGGTTTTATGTGTACCTGCATAGTTGTGACTGTTTTTATCAAGCACAACAACACGCCCTTGGTCAAAGCATCAGGCCGGGAGCTGTGTTACATCTTGTTGTTTGGGGTCAGTCTGTCCTACTGCATGACATTCTTCTTCATTGCAAAGCCATCGCCAGTCATCTGTGCACTGCGCCGACTAGGGCTGGGGACCTCCTTCGCTGTCTGTTACTCAGCCCTGCTGACCAAGACAAACTGCATCGCCCGCATCTTTGATGGGGTCAAGAATGGCGCCCAGAGGCCAAAATTCATCAGCCCGAGTTCTCAGGTTTTCATCTGCCTGGGTCTGATACTAGTGCAAATCGTGGTGGTGTCCGTGTGGCTGATCCTGGAGGCTCCAGGCACCAGGCGGTACACCCTCCCAGAGAAGCGGGAAACAGTCATCTTAAAATGCAATGTCAGAGATTCCAGCATGTTGATCTCACTTACCTACGATGTGGTCCTGGTGATCTTATGCACTGTATACGCCTTCAAAACTCGGAAGTGCCCAGAAAATTTCAACGAAGCCAAGTTCATTGGTTTTACCATGTATACCACATGCATCATCTGGCTGGCCTTCCTCCCTATATTTTATGTGACATCAAGTGATTACAGAGTAAGTCTTTGAATGGTTTCTTCTTCTCCTTCTTCCCTTATCCTGCCAATGTTCTGTTATGCAGGATTTAAAATAGACTTATTTCATCTCAGTTATTAGGTTAATTGTAAACGCCATGATGAAACATCCTATTATATATGGAAATTAATCCAATGTTTTAAAAGCACTTAATTAGTGAATACTATGCGCAAAGCATCGTACTAGGCACTGAAAGTAAAATAAACGTAAATGACATGGTCATTCAAGCAATCTATAATCTAGTAGGAGAAAAATGGAACACACGCACCCACCTAAAACTTTTAATTACATTTAGAAAGTGATTCCCCAGAGGGTAACACTTAAACCCACTAAGAACCAGGTGAGAATACTTCAAATAAAACAAAAGAGGACCTGGCTGCCACAGATTAATCTGTAAATTAAAAGAAACTTTCAACATTAAGCCAATATCAGATCTAAACACTTTCACTCAAGCTTCAAATAAGCATCATTACTTCTCTAAAATAGATTAAAATAGGGGTGCCTGGGTGGCTCAGTCGTTGGGCGTCTGCCTTCGGCTCGGGTCATGATCCCGGGTCCTGGGATCGAGTCGCGCATCGGGCTCTCTGCTCTGCGGAGAGCCTGCTACTCCCTCTCCTCCCTGCCTGTGTTCTTTCTTGCTGTCTCTGTCTCTCTCTCTCTCAAATAAATAAATAAAATCTTTAGAAAAAAAATAGATTAAAACATAATGTTAATTTGTTATACTTGTTCTACAATTTTAGTTCCTGTAGATACATGCTAGCTATATATATATATATATATACACATATATATATAAATCCTTGAATTAGTTAAAAATATTACTGTATATATCCAAGTAATCTAAGTCATTATTCATAAGGTTTTTAGTAATGCATAGTTCAAATTTCTGGGCATCAATATAATTACCATCTCTTCTGAAAGAAACAGTTCATCATTCTATCATAATTTCTCAAATTGTTGAAACCATCCATCAGTTATTTCTGCATTTATGTTTCTGATTTTAGTATCTTCCATGGACTGAGGATGAGAATTTTTTTCTCTTGAGGCAACTGATTTTATTCTCCATATTTCTTAAGTTGTCAGAAACTTTTCCAGAGGCAAAATGTTTCCTTGTTACACCATAATTTCACAAAGTAAAGTGCTTCTGTAGGCTGTAACAGTCCCCATATCTTGTTTAACAGCAATTCCTATATTACCAAAATCTTTAATATTGCAGCTCAAAAAGAAGGCAAAGCTATTTAAAATGTGGCCTCAAGAGACTAGCAAAGCTCAATGTTTCTCATCTTTTATTTATTTATTTTTAAAAGATTTTATTTATTTATTTGACAGAGAGAGACAGAGCGAGAAAGGGAACACAAGCAGGGGGAGTGG